TTGTTTGATTTATTTATGTTTGTGAATTAGTCATTAATTATATTGGGGAAAAGAGTTTCATTCTATTTTAGAAAATTTCATTGAACTTTTGTTATTATTCTTTTTAATACTTTGTTATTAAATGGTGTATTCTGATCATAGTTTGAGTTCTTTACTATTGTTTCATGGTAGGTTGAAGGTTGTTTTTATGTTGTTTAATAGGTGTTATGTTGTTTCGTTTATGTTGTTGCACAAAATTTTTTATTTTCTTATTTGTTATTTTTTCTCTCGATCACTTTATCCTACAATGTGTTTTTTTTTTTTTTTTTTTTTTTTTTTTTTTTTTTTTTTTTTTTTTTTTTTTTTTTTTTTTTTTTTTTTTTGCCTTCAACATATTATTTGATCAATTTTTTATTCTTTGAAATTCATGTTTGTAGATGAAGAAAAAGGAAGAAAGATAGAACGTGCAAGAAGAAAAATGAGAGAGAAAGAAGAAAGAGAAAAGAGAATGACAACAACGAAGTAGGAGAGAGAAATAAAGAAAAAAATTAGGATGAGAGAGATTGTTTGTAACTTTCATCTTACTAATTGTTTTATAATTTTTTTAAAGTTTGCCTAACTGTGTCCAATTTAGGAGTATATTTAGAATTGTGGATGAATGGAGATTATTGCGTAATCTCTTCCTTTAAAAGAGGTAGTTATAAAATTTTCCCTTTTTTTTCAAGAGAAAATTACTCGTCGACTATCTCAACTTTCTTTCCGACTATTGTTACGCCTCTAGGCGTCGGCAATTGAAACACCAATTTCAGTAATCTCACGAGTACAATACAATGAAGGTTATGTAACCCACAAATTAGACCTTTTTTTAATTAAGAAAAGTGAGTGAGGTGTAATAGTGAGACCTAAATGTAAGAGACATGTATCCTAGGAAGATCATACATCTTTGAGTACAATACAATGAAGGTTATGTAACCCACAAATTATACTTTTCTTAATTAAGAAAAGTGAGTGAGGTGTAGTAGTGAGACCTAAAGGTAAGAGATATGTATCCTAGATCATACATTTTTGTTACAAAACCTATTTCGGACAAAGTATTCTCGTTTAAGTGGTGACTTAAAGATAAAGAGGCATGTATTGTCAATTATCTTGAGCTTTTTCAAAATACTCATTTAAGTTCTTTTGGACAAAGTGATAGCAAACATCACAATAGTTCTTCTAGCATGAATTACTTGATTTTTGCTAAGTGAATAACGCTCTAACAGTCACAATGTGCTTTGACATATTTATGACAAATCCCAAGTTTTTTCAAACAAGCATTCAAGACAAATTGACGTACTCTATCTCTGTTGTTGACAAAGCAACCATTCAGGGACGGATCCAGAAAAATGAATTGGGGGGACGAAATATTTTTCGATAAAGACATATATTTTTAAGTAAAATTGGGCTATGTATATTTGTTCAATGTTAAGTTGGCAGTAACAAGTACACCAACATTTTCATAATTCATAAATAAAAACCTACTATAGATTTTTAAGAATAGTCTATACACTTATTCCATTTGATTTTGGACCACCGTATAATGTGGGAGGACTCCACAAATTTTTTTACTAAAATTCACATTTAATTCAAACTACTTAACAATCATTTAATTGCTTTTCAGTACATATATAAATTTTTTCAATGAAGCTCAAACAGTAGAGGAAATCTCATACATTCAACTTTATTAAATCTTAAATGGCTCAAAAGGAACAAATAAATAAGTTCGTAAATAAAGATATTGAAAAAGTACTTACAAATTATTCAATAAGATGATGCCTCAAATCTCAATTGATATTTTTTTTTTCTTTTTTTCTTTCAGTTGGTTGTCCAGTGCTCTCGTCGATTCGTCCTCTTCTGCTCTCAAGTTTTTCTCAAATGTTTAGGGCTTGATTGTTTATGAATTAATTTGTTCAAATTGAGTTATTTTGGTTAACTATAGTTAATTTTGAAAAAGGTGGTATGGTTAATTGTAGTGGAATTTTAAGAATGTATTAAAATAATATTTAAAATAAAATAATTAAAATTGATTTGATGTAAAAGTAAGAGATAAATGATTGGAAATAATAGGTAGTTAAAATTATGTGAGTAGATGAATAGTAAATTAAAGTTGATGTGATGTGTAAGAATGATTTGTTTGTATTATTTAATTATATGAATAATATTAAAGATAGTGGGGTTGGATTAAAATTGAGTTAGATTTTGAGTTGAAATAAAAGTGAGTAAATTATTTTGTAAACAATCACCCCCTTAGTGGCCGAGAATCCCAATTCCCAACTTTTTTTGATTTACATTAATTATTTCTTTAATAGTTTAAAAAATAATAAACTAAGTTAATTTATTATATTACATATTATATATGCTTATTAAAGGAAAAGTAAGGTAAGTGGAATCGTGCCCCGGGAATTGTGACTGTGTTTCTATTTTTTTTTTTTTATATCATTTAGTTTAATTTATATTGTAAGGGGGGCAAAATAATTAAATATACATAATACTATACATTCTATATACATAGTACTAAAAAAAAAATAAAAAAATTGGGGGGGACCATGGCCCCCCCACTTATGTATGTGCATCCGTCCCTGCAGCCATTGACTGTAAAGTCGACATTCAACTGACTAGAGATTTTAGATAATGAATAAATATTCAGTCGTTGATTTGTGTTTAATAAAACTATGTGTTTGGACTAAGTTAAAAAACTGAGTTAAGGCAGATTTAGTATCAGACTTAGAGCATAGAGGATAGATCCATGTTACTCTTGAAAAATCATCAACTATGGCAAGAAAGTACTTATGACTAGCATAAGACGTAACAAAAAAAATTGCCCCAAAGATCACAATGTATTAGATCAAATGCGTAAGAAATAACAATTATGCTATGTGTAAATGGTAATTTATTTTGTCTAGCATCATGACAAACATCACAATGCATATATGCATCAGATTCACAAGATATTTTGCGAACATGCAAAGTAGCAAGTTTATGAAAAGATAGATGACCTTATATGAAATGACAATGTCATGTGATACAGAGGGTGATTCAGTAGATACATTTGCACTTAGATGTGCAGGATGTAAGACATGATATTCATCAAATACAAGTGCATTTACATCGTATAAAATATTAGTAAAAAGATGATAAAGTCCTGCTTTGACCTCAGCAAAACCAATCATTTTGATGTTCGGGTCTTGTATCACACACTAAGAAGATACAAAATTGGACTATATAATTATTTGATGAAGTTAGTCTCGAAATGGAATCAGATTTAAAGAAAATTTAGGAACAAAGATACATTGAGGAGCACAAAATTAGAAAGTGAAAGTGTTGGAAGGAACAATGATTGAGTAGTTGTAGGCACAAGTTTAGAATTAGGTCATGTGCCCTGTTTCTGCTCAGAAAGCTCTTTTAAAATCTAAAAAAACTCGCGAAAGAGCTGATCAATAATGTAATTAGAACCAACATGAGTGGAAGTGTTGTTTGTAGAAACAAGATTGACTTGAGATGAAAGTTTATCAAGGAGAATGTCATTAGAAACCGAGTTCAGTTCGTCCCATGCAATATAAACTATCAGCTATCGGGATTTCAGTTCGTCCCATACATCTTTCGCAGAAGTATATAAAAGCAAAGATCGACGAATGTCATTAGAACCTGAGTTCAACAATATATATTATATGAGTTAAATATATTATGTATTGAACTTATGTTTGAAAATCAATAAATAGTAGAATAAATATAATATTTAAATTTTAGGTGTCAACAGAATGATTCAAAGAATTAATATACAAATTTTCTGTAAATTTATTTTTATAATTATAGCTACTGAAATAGCAATTCTTAACTATATGGTAAACTGGCTATACTGATATTATTCTTTTTAATTACCCAGGTTTTATATTTTGACAAAGAATAATTAATGTAATTATTAAATTTATATAATCTGATACATAGTTTTTACATCTAAATAATTTTTGTTGTATACATAAAGTGGTAGTATATATATAATCAACACTCCTTAGCTTACTCAATAACTCTGTCATAAAACTACAAATAAAAAACACCAAGACACTTATAAAATCAAATTTACAAAGGAAAAATATGGAGTGCTCAAGAAGGGTGCTTGTGGTTGTTATGGTGATATCAACATTTATCATGTTTGCAGATATATGTGCAGCTGATAGTTATCGCGTGAATGAACTCGGAGACTATTTAGCATGTTTCTTTGATTGCTATAAATCGTGTAACCAAATTAGGGACATTTGTGACAAGCTTTGTTACAATCAATGTAAAGGTTACGCGGCGGTCGAACCACAATCGCCACCGCCGACGGCCGTCTGAAGACCATCAGAAAGGGAATTATTTACATAGATGTGACTGCAGTTCGGGTTGGTTGGATTTATGCAGCAAGGATATTTATAAGCCAAATATTAATGAATAAAAGGCTTTTTATGTCTTTTTAGAAAATGTCTTTTTTTTTTTTTTGTGCTCTCGGCTGACTCAATCCTTTTAAAGTAACTGAATATAGGAACATATTTTTTTATGTTAATATATTATATGAACATTAAAATATATTTTTGTAAGGACGAACTTTTTTATAAAACCTGAGCATATCTCATAAATTTCTTAGGGTTACTTTTTAAATAAGCTAGTTGAAAATTTATTTCAGTTAGCTTATCAGTTAATTTTATAAAACATTTTTGTTAATCATAAGATAGTTTTTCAGCTAAAAGTCACAAGCGATAAGCTATAAGCTCGAAAATTAATATGAACTATGAAATAGCCTATCAGCTAGTTTTACCAAATATAGCCTAGACATAAGCATATTTCTCTCTTAGTTCGAGATATATTATCCATTGTGATACATATGGATCCTATTGTTAGTATTTCAAATATATAGGATAATCATGGAGGTTCTAACGTTACAAAAATTATAAAACATTTAAGTAGTTAAAATTATAAATATGAATTTTTTAGATTTGGTCATTTTTTTAATTATTATATGTTTTTCATACATGATATATTAAAGTAATAATCATCACAATTTTTTATATAACATTCACATTGAATTTATAAAACTAATATTTATATATTTGTCCTAGTAGACAATAAATTTATCTACCAATTATAATTGTAGATGATATTTATGTATGGTGTTCTATGCTATGATTTAGAGAATTATTATGTTTGACAATTGCGAGTAAACAATAGACAAAATTGCGCTTAATATCAAGACATTTGATAATTTTTTTTTTTTATTTTATTCAAGACAGCTAAATTTTTGCAAATTATATCATGACCTTGTTTTCTTCGCAAAATTGATGCACCTTTGTCTATAAATACAAAGAAAAGAAAAAAAAATCAGTATGGTAATATTCAATTGTAAATTGATGCAAAGAAAAGAATGTTGTGATATAATTTGCAAAAGTTCAAAAATTGTGATTTAAATGTAAATTCACTTATAGTTATGATATCATGTGCAATTTTTCCAAAAATTGTCCTATACTCGTATAAAGTACGGGTATCATTATAATTTTAAATAAAATCTACATTAAACTTTATATTTATACTAATTGATCAATTTTTACTAAAAAATAAACATATATTGTAAATCATATTTGAATAATAAATTCATCTAGATTTCGATGATAAGTGATTGGACATTCATATTGCATCATAGAATAAAGTTAATTACATTTACCTTAGATCAATAATAAATTATATGTCAATCCTAATTGAAACAACAAAACCATCACTATTAATTAAATAATTTATCTCAACTCTTTGATATAAATTAAAAGGAGTATTATGGTCCCGTTTGGAAGATAGCGGATTGAAAATAAATTAGCGGATTGGACTTAATTGAGAGGTTTGACCCGTCAAATCCTTTATGGGCATGTTTGGTAAATAGCTTATTTGATAAGCTTTTTGGGCCAAAACTCTAATTTAGAAAAAGCTCATTAGAGCAGCGTTTTGGGGATAGAAGATTCACAAAAATCATTTAATTGGAACTTTTTAATTTGTATTATTTATTTTACAATCTACATTGGTTTATGGTGCTAATAAATAATAATATGTCATCCATATCATTAATTTATTTAAAAAAATGTAAAATTCACAACTTTTTCATCAAGTGTTAGTAAATTTAAAAAAAAAATTATAAATTACTAAGTAAAGAATATTAAATGTTTTAATATATTATTATTAAAAGAATATACCCTAAATAATAAAATGTTCTTGAAGTGAATAAGTTTCACCCGGGCTCCTTCAGCTCGACCGGTCTCCGTACCTGCAGAACCCAACGCCAGGGGTGGCCTCGGCGTCGGGCCTCCGATGCCTAAGTCAGTGCTCAGATTAAGAGAGAGAGTGTGTAGTAATGAAATGAATAGAGGATGAGAGAAGTGAGATACCTTAGCCCCCTTTTATAGGGGGAGAGTACCTTTTTGGGTTCAAGTTGGGCTTGACCCATATCGTTATGTTGTATGTCATAGTCCATGCGTGGGCTTTATCCTCCAATATGTATACGTTTTCTTCATTAAACTGGGTGTAGTATAATATCATATATCAGTTCTTATTGGTCATTTTGCAATGTCAAACAACTATAAGATTTTAGCTATTTACTAAACACTTATTTAAAAACCGCTAATGCAATCCGCTGGTCAAATCAGCTAATCTAATCCGCTATCCGCTGATACAATTCGCTATTCGCTATCCGCTGATCGCCAAACAAGGCTTATAACATAGAACGAAGCGAGTTTTACTGGCGACGAACATCATTTTAAATAAAACGATAACACAATTTTTTTTTAAAAAAAAAATATTATTAATTCATATTAAAAAAAACAAATACGGAATTTTTAGTTCATACACGAATATTATTTTACTCTTAATATTTCTTATTTCGACACTAGTATATTGCACGAATAAGTAGACTTAATAGTTAGACAATCATATTTTTTTTCTACAAATATAGTAATATACATATGTAATACTTAAAAAAAATAAATAAAGAAAAGTATGTTATTTTATGGGAAAAAATATTTTTCACCACAATACAAAGATACATTAAGTTTTTCACACCGCCCAATAAAAAGTTAAATGTTTCACCCTAGAAAGTGCGAAGGTTATGCGAAAACTGTCGCATATTCATCGCATAACAGTCACATATGCGAAGGTTATGAGAAAAACTGTCGCATAACTATTGCATATCAAATGCATCACTGTCGCATATTCATCGCACAATGCCTTCGCACTTTAACTTTTTTCCACTTCAAAAAATGCGAAGGATATTTGAATGCCTTCGCACTTTCAACTTTTGCACAATTTATCGCACAATTGTCGCATATCCATCGCACAATGTCTTTCGCACTTTCTGGGGTGAAAATTTAGCTTTTTCTTCGACGGTGTGAAAAACTTAACAAGACTTCAAAACAGGGTGAAAAATAGCTATTTTCACTTATTTTATTATGAAAATAGATAAAGAGATACAGTCTTGCTCACCTACCAACGATTGACACATGTTTAATATGTCCACCGCTTATGTGGCATACACTCATTGATGATGTATTTTTTTAACATATTAACATCACCAATATCTGCATGCCACATAAACAGTGGACATATTAACATGTGACATCGTGGGTAAGGGAGCATTATCCGAAAGCGATATGGTATCTTTTCTTACATATACACCCGTCTCTTCTCGCCTTTACTCTTTTTCTCATATTATCTCTATTTAACATATCTCAGTTAGTCTTATCTAATTTGGGGAAAAAAATAAAAATAAAAAAAAATAAAATAAAATAACGCTGTCAATCCAACACACAGCTATGGAGGGAGAGAGAAGGAAAAGAAAAGTGGAGGAAGAAAAAGAAGAAGAAAACGAAGACGAGAAGATGGAGAATTTTTTCGCGCTGATCAAAAGCAGCAGGGTGGTGCGGGAACGCATGGCCGCCGCGGAAAACAGGGGGAAGGCCGCCGGAGATCTTCGGCCTCCGGCGGCGGCGGCGTGGAACCCCACATTCAGGCTGGAGGATTTTCTGGAGCCGGCGGCGGAGAAAGCCGAGGCAGGGCCTTCTTTTGCGGAGGGAGATAAACAGGAAATTGCCGGCACCGACGACGGCGAGAAGGCGATTGGAGATGATAAAGGCTTAGATCTCAATCTGTCTTTGTAAAATTATGCGAAAATTCAGAGCATTTGAATGAAAATAACAAAGGGAGATAAAATCTGATGTGCTAATAATAATCTGTGTGAAAAATCTGAATGTAAGAGTGATATATGATCTGTCTTTTGATCTGATTGGTTGATTGAATTTAAAATTTTCCGATTTTTTTTTATTTGTTTAATTTAGGGGAAAAAAGATTATTATGTTCAACTGAAAGTGATGTGGTTTATGGTCATGCTTGTGCGGTTGTGGTGACGTCATCCATTGAGAATTAAACTGTGGAGGAATAATCCAAAAGTTGCTTGCATTTTTTAAATGTTATCATGGAACGGTGGGGTAATTTATTTTTAAGAAATAAAAAAAAATAAGTGAAAACAAAATAAGTAGACCAAAATCAAATACACATATTAATACATTTTAATAATTAAATTTATTTAAAAAACGTATTCTCAGAATATGTATTATATTTAATTTTATTTTATTTTTTTAAAAATTAAAAAATATTATAAAAAATATTATTAATTATTTAAAAAAATTAATGAAAAAAATACGTTTTATATTTTAAAATTAATGAAAAAAATTAATATTTAGTGTGTATTTTGTGTTTCGAGCTTGCTTGGGCTTATCTAAACTCTGAATTGAGTTTCATTTTTTCCTATACGTAGCTAACGACCCCCTTTATTCAATGACGCTTTTCGTTAATACTCGACTCGTTTATCTAGGCCCGAGGGAACACCCGAAGTCTCCTCTTCTCGCTTATGTTGCTACTATTCCTACGGGAATTCAAGTTTCTCTAATTAAATGTTCGGAACTCCGAAATACTCAATAAATGCCCCACATGACATCGTGTCTGAATTATCTACACGCCCCAACTCGATTCTCGGTAAACCGAAGTCACATGCGACCTTGCAGGACCCACGTAAACGGCTTTTTCATTTATTTTACTAATATACACCCTCGAACTCGAGTTTCTCTAAATAAATGATTGGGACCTCGAAATAATAAATCGACGGCACAAACGGCTTCTCCTTTTCTCATGCTTTCTCGAAAGAACTTTTTGTTAATGCTCGACTTGCTTATCGAGGCCCGACGAAACACCCGAAGTCTCATCTTCTCGCTTATTTTGCTTCTATTCCCAGGGGAATTCAAATTTCTCTAATTAAATGCTCGGAACTCTGAAATACTCGATAAATGCCCCGTATGACATCGTGCCTGAATTATCTACACGCCCCAACTCGATTCTCGGTAAACCGAAGTCACATGCGACCTTGCGGGACCCTCGTAAATGGCTTTTTTATTTATTTTACTAATATGCACCCTCGAACTCGAGTTTCTATAAATAAATTATTGGGACCTCGAAATAATAAATCGACACCACAAACGACTTCTCCTCTTCACGTGCTTTCTCGAAAGCACTTTTTGTTAATGCTCGACTCGCTTATCGAGGCCCGACGGAACACTTGAAGTCTCTTCTTCTCGCTTATTTAGCTACTATTCCCACGAGAATTCTAATTTCTCTAATTAAATGCTCGGAACTCTGAAATACTCGATAAATGCCCTGCATGACATCGTGCCTTAATTATCTACACGCCCCAACTCGATTCTCGGTAAACTGAAGTCACATGCGACCTTGCGGGACCCACGTAAACGGCTTTTTCATTAATTTTACTAATATGCACCATCGAATTCGAACTTCTCTAAATAAATGATAGGGACCTCAAAATAATAACTCGACGCCATAAACGGCTTCTCCTCTTCTCGTGCTTTTTCGAAAGCACTTTTATTAATGCTCGACTCGCTTATCGAGGTCCGGCGGAACACTCGAAGTCGCCTCATTAAATAAGCTAATATATAGTAAAACAATAAGAAAATTAAATATAAATAATTAATTTTATTTGTAAAACGTATTTCTGTAATACGTTTACAATTAATTAATTGTTCGTATAACAGAAATACGTTTTAAAAATAAATATAAATTATAAAATTAATTTAATTTGTTAAACGTATTTTCAAAATACGTTTTACAATTAATTAAACGTATTTCTGTAATACGTTTTACAATTAAATGTAAATTATAAATTTAATTTTACTTATAAAACGTATTATTTTACAATCAGAATACGACCTTTTTATTTTGGTCCACATTTTATTTTATTTTATTTTATTTTCCACTTATTTTTTTTTCATTTTTATTTAAAGAAAAATTCAATGGATGAGATGTTGTTTTGTTACTTTTTTCTAAGTTATAGTAGCCCTTTATCAATTTCATGTTTTGAGTTCATTTTTTTAGATTAATTTGAGCTTCAACGCTGGCGTATTTTTTTCCATCTTTTGGTGAATTATTACTTGCTACATTTTATATTTTTATTGACTTTAACAACTTTTTTTTTCGGCTCCATTAGAACTGTACGGGAATTTTAATGGTTTCGATCGAATTTTGACTAACAGACGAAATGTAGGGTATTAACTTGACTAATTGAAAACTCTGGAAATGTAGGGTATGGATAATGCTCCCTATTCACGGTGGGCACATGTTAATATGCTCACCGCTTATGTGACATGCAAACATTGGTGATGTTAATATGTTAAAAAAAAATACATCACCAATGTGTACATGCCACATAAACGGTAGACATATTAATATGTGCCCACCGTAAGTAGGTGAGTATTATTGTGTAGGGTATTAACTTGACTATTTGTGTGACCCAGCCGGGTCAATGCTCTGGATCGACTGGATCAAAGTTGGGTTGGCCGGGTTTTGACCGGGAGCCCATCCAGACCAGTTCCGACTCCAGCTCGAACCGTCAGGCCGGTCCGGATCTCAAAACTGATGTAAGCCTGAATAATTAAAATAAAATAATGCTAATATATTATGCCAACTCTACAATTGACACTTGATAAATGTGTTCAAAATTCAAATACACGGACGTTTGCAATACCAATCAATATAATATACTCGTATGGTTAGATACATCTAATATTATACTATACTACTATTCTGAAATTAGATAACAAATTATTTTAATTCGTTTTACTGCATGATTGTAGCGTGGCACTATCTTTTTACTCGTTCCATGCCCGAATCTTCTTGAAAATGAAAGAGAAGACCAAGTACTATTAAAATATGCACTGTACAATTCACAAAGCACTAATTGCGGTTGGAAGACGGAAAGGGATTGATTGTGAGAACATTTATGTCAAATTGACTGTTATCATAAAAGTTCCAACTGCTGATTATCTTTCTTTCGATATTATAACAGTTTTGGTTCGTATCATTTATTATTAGCAGACCAACTTTGGGTAAAATCGAAATGACATAGTTGATTTAACAGCTACAAACTTCGATGGAATGATTTCGAGCCCCTTTAGTCTGAATTCGTTAATTCAGAATGAATCAAATCTCCCCAAGTAGGATTCGAACCTACGACCAATCGGTTAACAGCCGACCGCTCTACCACTGAGCTACTACAACGGGAGATTTGATCGCATAGAGTTCAATTCCCGCTCTCAACCCATGACCAATATGAGCTCGAACCCCCCTTCGTAACTCCCGGAACTTCTTCATAGTGGCTCCCTCTCATGCCTCACTTCAGAGGGAACCTCAAAGTGGTTCCACAACCTCACTTCGCTCGCCTTGGCTTGTTCAGGCGTAACTCGCTATGGTGCTTTCAACGAATCTCTATGACTGAAAAAAGCTTTCAATTCTTCTTGACAAGCCAGACGTGTTATATGCGTAAGCGGCGGCGCTCTTTGAAGGATTGAAACTGTGTTTAGACAGGTCAATGTAATCGAGCCTTTTGGTTGAGATTGATTCTAAGGTCAGATTAAGTCAATTCAAACAAGCTGGGAAGCGTAACGAGACCGTAACATCTCCTTTCATATGTATTAGTAAATAAAAGGAAGTCTATAAATGGACTTAGTAATTTTTTTCAAAAGAATCTAATCTATAATTCTCATGCGATAACTAAATTGAAATATACCTGTAATTGTGTTTAAATTACCATAAATTAAATTATCATAATTTAGTTATATATTATAAAATAATAACATGTTTAATGAAAAATCATAGGTTGGAAATTGTATAAAATTTGTTGGGTTCTTGCCAATTTGATAGGTATTAAATATTATAAAAGATACTAATTTTTAATGTATAATAACTACTTAGGGCTTGCTTGTATACAAATTAATTTACTCATTTTTATTTCAACTCAAAATCTAACCCAACTTTGACTCAACCCCACTATCTTAATATTATTCATATAATTAAATAATACAAACTAATTATTCTTACACATCACATCAACTTTAATTAACAATTCCTTCACTAACATAATTTTAACTACTTATCATTTCCAATCATTTATCCCTGCCTTTGGTTTTACCGTATTTCAATCGGTTCGATTCCGATTTTGGACCCAAGTTATCTGCCTCGAACCGGACCGGTATGCCAACCGGTTCCTGGTTGAACCGGTTCAAGCGGCCGGTGCGGTTCTGAGAACTATGGTTTTTACCATAACCAATCATATCGATAATTTTAAAAATTACCGATCGAAAAAGATAAAAAGATGGTTTTGAGTCTTTAAGATTTCTAGAATCGCCTTTCATTTAAAAGGTCTGAATCCATGTAAGAATCTGACTTTTCTTAATTGTGAGATTCCGCTGATCTAGTTCTAGTTATTTCATATCTCCCTTATCTCCTTTCCATATGCGTTAAAGCCGCGTCAATGTAACCAAACCGCGTCTAGATCCTTTTCCAAGCGTAGTCTATATTAAATAAGGAAACAAAATCTAGATTAACTGAACTCCATATTCAACAATTAAAACACAAGAAACTTAATAATTAAGTTAATCTTTCTTTTATTTTGTCTTGCTTCCTTTGCAAGTGTCTACAAAGAATACAATTCAATAAACCAATAGGTTATGCGAAATGTGCCAATTCAAAATCCTAAAAATCTCCCACTTTGGCATTCAGCTCGAAAACTCTATTTCATGTAGTAAAAAAAAAAAAA